ACACCTGGGGACATCCCACCCACACCTGGGGACACCTGGGGACACCTGGGGACATCCAACCCACACCTGGGGACACCTGGGGACATCCCACCCACACCTGGGGACATCCCACCCACACCTGGGGACATCTGGGGACACCTGGGGACATCCCACCCACACCTGGGGACACCTGGGGACACCCCACCCACACCTGGGGACATCCCATCCACACCTGGGGACATCCAACCCACACCTGGGGACACCTGGGGACATCCCACCCACACCCGGGGACATCCCACCCACACCTGGGGACATCTGGGGACACCTGGGAACATCCCACCCACACCTGGGGACATCCCACCCACACCTGGGGACATCCCACCCACACCTGGGGACATCCAACCCACACCCGGGGACACCTGGGGACATCCCACCCACACCTGGGGACATCTGGGGACACCTGGGGACATCCCACCCACACCTGGGGACACCTGGGGACATCCCACCCACACCTGGGGACACCCCACCCACACCTGGGGACACCCCCTGGGAGCTGATGGGTCCCTGATCCCGCAGGGTGCTCAGGGGTCCCTGATCCCGCTGGGAGCTGGGGGACGCGGTGGGATCCCCACAGGAACAGATCCTGGGTCCTGCCGGAGGACGGGATGGGAGCAGATCCCAAACCCCAGGGCGGGATGGAGGAGGACACGCCGGGTCCTGCAGGCAGCGGGGGATCGGGGGATGAGGCTGGATCCCGTGTCCTGCATGGTGTGGGATCCCCTGTCCCACCAGGGCATCGATCGATCGATCCCAGACCCTCCCGGGCTGTCGGTGAGTTTGGGGCAAACCCACCAGTATTCGGTATTCATCCCGACGATCCTGGGGTGGTCCTCTCTAGGCAGAAGTTTCCCAAACCCACAGATTTCCCCCCCGCAGCAGGAGCAACCAGGGATTCCCTGAAGAACCCCCAAAACCTCCTGATCTTCCCCTAAAATGCCGCTACTCCGAGATGCCTGGGATGCCCCGGGGCTGGGAGCGTCGATCACAGCGATTACCGAAGTTGCGGTGATTAACCCCAATTCCCGAGAGGCCAAGACCGCGTCGCCCCGCCCGTCTGGGCGCGCAGACACCGCCGGACCGGACGCGGCGGCACTGACCACGCCAGGCGACTAGGCCCCAAACGGGGGCACCGGGAGCCGCGGCAGCACCGGTACCGGGAGGCTGGGAGCACCGGGAGCGCCGGGAGCGAGCGCTGCGGTGTCCAGCTCCACGCCACCAGCAGTACTGGCCAGACCAGCCACACGCCACAGCAGAACCAGGACGCCAGAAGCATCTGGCGGGGAGGCACATCCAGCCACACGCCGTGCGGGGACCGCCGGTGGCACGGGAGGTGGCACGGGAGGTGGCACGGGAGGTGGCACCGGTCCCCGCGCCGCGCCAGCAGCACGGGGAGGCACGAGGAGTCCGGGGTGTCCCACCCCGCGCTGCGCTGCCACGCATGGAAGCCACGGGCCAGTTTGACATGTGGCGGGACTACCTGGGGCTGGCGGCTATGGTGGCCGTGTGCCTCCGTGACCCCGCGGGCCCTGGGGACAGCGTGGTGCCACTGGGAGCTCTGTCCTCGTGCGCTGGGCCAGCTCCAGCTGTGGGGCCAGCTCCGTGTGCTGGGCCAGCTCCAGCTGTGGGATCAGCTCTGTGTGCTGGGCCAGCTCCAGCTGTGGGATCAGCTCTGTGTGCTGAACCAGCTCCATGTGCTGAAGTAGCTCCATGTGCTGGGCCAGCTCCACGTCTGGGGCCGGCTCCACGCACCGAACCAGCTCCACGCACCGAGCCAGCTCCACGCACCGAACCAGCTCCACG